TTCGACACCTGGTCGTACTATCATTATCAAGCCTCTACTGAGTAGCGGCTTGATAATGATTGCACAACCAGCTGTCGAAAGCGCTAGCATATAATAAATAGGAGTTATAAAGCTTCATATCCTGGGTAAATATTCGTTGTGATGGCACCCGGCGATTTTGAAAAAATGTTTGATTGTACTTACGTATTTTGATGCGTAGATTACGAATCCGAAAGGAAAAAGCAGCGCTCTCCCTCATTTACAAAGTTATGGCCCTTCAAAATTCAGAAAAGGGCAACTTTTCAGCTCTCTTTTTCACAAGATAAACCATTCAAATACACAAGCATTTATTCACTAGGTCACCTTTACATTATTCCTCCTTAATTGACACTTTTCAACTCAACAATCAACATTTTTCTTATAAAAAACTTAATTTATGAACGAATGCTTTTTCTGGTGATATTCTTCTATTTCTATGTTAATTACTAGTGACATTTCAGAAAAAAACAAAGAATGAAGACAAAAATATTTGAATTATTTTAGGAATATTGACAGCATCAGTCATACCAACTATGCTATTAACAGTATCAGTCATACCAACTATGCTATTAACTTTAAACACGTAAAATACAGAGATATATAACCAAAAAGCAGCTCTGTACATTTTTTAACATTTTTATTGGAAAAATGTTGATTGTTGAAGTGAAAAGTGTCAAGGAATGAGGAATAAGGTGTAAAGGTGATCTAGTGAATATATGCTTGTGTTTTTAAATAGTTTATCTTGTGAAAAAGAAGGCTGAAAAGTTCCCCTTTTTTGAATTGTGAAGGGCCGTAACTTTGTAAATAAGAAAGAGCGCCGCTTTTTTCTTTCGGATTCGTAATCTACGTATCAAAATACGTAAGTACACTCAAACATTTTTTCAAAATCGCCGGGTGCCCTCAAAACGAATTTACCAAATCCTTTTTTAACATATATTGATATTAAAATACTGAAAATACAGGAATTATACATGAAGAAATACCATATTTACAAAAAGTATGAATGAATTCTATCAATATTTCCAAAAATTATGTTTGACACAAGAAAGTATAATAATGAAAGTGAACGTTTGGAATGTTTAGGATCATTTTTCAAATTTCATATAGTCCTATGAAAAATCTCATATCATTTCCTTATTTGTGAAACGGGGTTCTTTCACAAGTGCATATAGTCTCCCAAAATTTTTGAATTGATATATACTATCGAACTGATGATCTTCAAACAAGACTCAACCTCTGACGGAAGCACCAAACTCTTTCGAAGGTTCGAAATAGATGAACACTTCAATTTAGCAGACCACTATTATAATATTCATGCAGTCATTGTTCACTGTGGTTCTGGAAATGAATATGGTGAAGTTGACTGAATTTTCTTATGAAAGCAATTTTCACACAAATACAAGGGTAACAACCCTGTTAACAGCTTCGTCATAGCTGTCGATTTCCGTCCTCACACAAATGTCTGCTCTCATGTATCCGCTGCCTTTTAAATCGAAAGAGGAGTCATTTACTTCTAAAAGGATTCTATGTCCAAAATGTTCGTTGAGTTCGGGTATGCATACTTTCGTTCCGTAAGGTATATCCAGCATACTATCCATGGCTAATGTAACGAATTCAGCTCTGTTGTCAACATAATCCTGCAAAAAAAAAAAGGGGTATTACTTTACTCAAACAGTTTTTGTTCGGCAGAAGAGAGCGGTAACAACCCAAATTTGAAATTAGCGACCTGACCGGGCTTCATAACGTATAAACGTATAAACCTTAATTTTTTTCCAGCTTGTATAATCAATAATTAAAATGGTAAAAAATAAAATAAGTAAATGACTATCAAACTGCCTCAACGGCGAGGTCCTCAATGGTGGGGTTATTCTATTTGGAACGGAAGTGAAATATCTTGGCATTGTCCTTGATAAAAAACTTACCTGGAATGCTCATTGGGAAAAAGTTTTACACAAAGCCAGGTTGTCCCTATGGCTATGTCGAAAGATTTGTGGTAAAACTTGGGATTTAGATCCCATTGGATTCATGTCATGATTATCAGACCAATGGTCACTTATGGTACAATTACCTGGCGGCCGAAGGCTTTACAGAAAACTGCCCAGGCAAAGCTCTCTGGCTCACAGAGACAGGCTTGTCTGGCCATCAGTACCAAACCGTCAGCGACCATGAAGATCCTTCTAGATCTACCTCCTCTCCAAATTTTTCTGGAGAGAAAGGCTAGATGGACTGCACATTGCCTATTGTACAAATCAATGTAATGCAGAGTGCAACAGACTGTGGGATGACACTGGAAGTCACAGCATTCTGGAAATGACCTCTGACTTTATGCCTCCAACTGTCAACTACGAACTGCCTTATAAAGTACTGTTTCCTAGTAGAAAGGACTGGATCCTCCGGGAGAAGGAAATATTAGGAGCAGATAGTTGGTTCACAGATGGATCAAAAACACCTTCCAGTTCTGATGCAGGTGTTTTCAGTTGCAGATCCAGGGCAGAGATATCAACCTGCCTAGGAAACTATGCGACTGTATTTCAAGCGGATATTTATGTTATTGAATTTTGTGCAGAGAGATTGGAAGAATTCAACCTCATACACAAGTCAATACAAATATTCTCGGATAGTCAAGAGGCGTTGGAAGCTCTTGGCTCCTACCGAGCAATGTTTAAATTGGTAGCAAATTACCAAAAACGACTCTCCTCGATAGGAAGACTTAACAGATTGTCCCTGGTCTGGATTCCTGGCCATACTGTCCTGGAAGGCAATGAGGCTGCTGACTTCCTTGCAAAGAAGGGTGCTGCAAGGGTGCAAGCAGCTTCATCGGACCAGAACCTGTCATTGGCATCGCTTAAGGCTTTGCCAAACAAATATTGAACACCTGGATGGCAAGAAGATTTATGACTTCTGGCAGAATCTTCCAGGATTAGCTCACTCCAAGGAGTTTATTCACCCTTCGAAGCTTGATACCAAACAGTTGTTGGACTATAGTAGGGATAAACTACGATGTCTTACAGGCCTTCTTACAGGTCACTGTCATTTGAATCATCATATGCAGAGACTCGGACTGTCGGAAGACAGTGTGTATCGCCTCTATTTGGAAAATGATGAAACAGCAGAGCACATACTTTATGCCTGCCCCGTTGGAAAATGATGAAACAGCAGAGCACATACTTTATGCCTGCCCCGTTGGAGACCGAATCAGGTTTTTAGAGTTCGGCAGAGCCGTACTCTTACCATTTGAACTGAAAGGCCACTCACCATACAAACTAATCGGCTTCGTTAAGAAGTTGGGTTTATTTGGTCGAGCGTGAATATGTGTGAGTCACAATAAACCCTTGTGGGTTGCGGTGGAGGGTCGAATGGACTCAGTCACTTTGGACCTGAGCTAACTATCAAACTGGAGACAATACAAAGCAAAAAATCGACCTTAACCTTCAAAGTGATTCATTGCCAGTATGGCTTTCGAGCTAGTATGTCGACTCAGTATGCCTGCCTTCTTATAATCAATCAGACTCTTTCTGATTTGGAATGTGGTGAAAAGACAATATGCCCGTTTTTCTGAGTCTACTTCAAACTGTAATATCTCAGTGAGTAGTCATTCAATTTTATCGAGTAAAGTGATATTTGAATTAGTGCAATATTGCCAACGTAACAGAAAACGAATGATTCCGTCAGCATAAAAATTTCGTAATCGGGATTCAATAAAGTCGACGAATGCCGTTTTTGCCTGGTCCTGATTGTCGAAGTTTCTACCGGTGGGAAAGCTATCGAAGTGCTTGAAAATATAGTAGTTGGCTGGCGAGAGATCTGAGGCAGAACTTCGCCGATCAATTCGGGCAGTTTCGGCAGCGCTTTGGTTCACTTTGAATTCGTACAGAAAAATTGGCCGAAAATCGCTCATCGACATCATATAGTAAGTAATAAGCTGAAAAGACGCAGAATATAAAAATTTGAAAAAAAATTAATAGCATCACTGTAAAGAGTACAAAATTCTCTATCGATTAGTAATACGACACATGTACAGTGACAGATCAATGGTTATTAGCTCGATTTTTTCTCAAACTATTTTATTACCCTACTTTTTGACCCTCGCAAAATTTGTCAAAGTATTAGTATGTCAATATTTCCATTTCTCTGGTTCGATTTTTTAAATGACTTTCCTCTCTTCGAAGTAGTTGTGAAAATGGGCTCAAGCATTTCATACACATACACTATAATTTAAAAGAAAATTTGTGGTCTAGAGTATTTAATATTCAAATTGATATATTAATCAACAAAAACTGCAGTCATTGTAAAAAAACTTTAGGTTTGAGGTGAGTTGAGAATTGAATTCTCTGAACCATGTCAGATAATTTTTTGTCACATGAATGGAGATTATGAGTTGCTCACCTGTAAGGTCCTCAATTTTTGGCCATGTTTGTCCTGATAACCCTGCTCGTGATCCTGGTCAGTATAGTCAGGATAATAGGCAGTGAGAGTAACATTGTTGAAGGTTTTGCCATGGCATTTCAGAGTTATTTCTGTGAAATGAGAATAGGGTGATGACTCTTTGTGTAGAATTTTTTTTTGTCGCACTAGAAGTTGAGCTGAAGGTTGGTACCAACAGTGAAAATACTGTTTTTCAAAAATGGAAATCAAAAGGAGCCATCCTTGAGAATTTTAAACCGATTCTCTACTTGGTAAATAAAAATAAAAACACCAATTATTAAAAAAAAACCCTCACCGTTATCAAAAAGTGCAGTAATCTCCAAAAATAAACTCATGAGAATAATACTACTGACTTGCTTCATTTCGCAAACGTTTTGCAACTATTGATACTGTCGTAATGAATATTTTTGTTGTCATCGTAAAGAAACTCGAACTTACAACAGATTTGTTGATTCGACATTTTTTTATTGGATAACAAAGTTTGTTGACTTTTACTGTGAAAATATGTGAACAGGTCATTTGATTCACTTCAATGGAAACAAGATACATTTGCTAAGAACAAGGATCATCAGCTCTTCGTCTGGAAGATGGTAAGGGTTCGGTATACTGCTGTCGACTTTTTATGATGTTCATTCCTACTCGGCTAAATGCATCGTGGTATTCGCTTTCTCCTGTCCTAGGCATGAACCACTCGTCTACAAGGGTAGGAGCTGTAAATAAAAGTAAAAATGAGCTCCACGGTTTATCGAATATTTTTGCAGTTTCCATTCAACAACTTCAACTGATATCTAGTAGGAGTTATTGCAAAAATGAAAATGAATCAGTTACCATGAATAATGATACGAAAATTGTATCAGTCACGAACAATATATTTGTAATTATTCAAATGAAATAATGGATTATTATTCGGTAAAATTTGGTTTTTCCATCTTGAGGGAGTTTTAAAAAGAATGAGCGTTATTTGAATCAGTGTACTTTTGCCAACGCAACTCAAGTCGATGAATACCTTCAGCATAAAAATTGTGTGCTCGGGATTCGATGAAGTCGTCGAAGGCCGTTTATGGCTGGTCCTGATTGGCGAAGGTTTTTCGGTGAGAAAGTTATCGGAGTGCTTGGAAAAATGAGGTCGGTTGGCGAGAGGTCTGGGGAGTATGCTGGTTGAGGCAGAACTTCGACTCAATTTCTTCAATTTTCGAACGGTGATTTGTGAAACGTTCGAAAGTGTGTTGTGGTGAAGCAGGGTCGGACCCCTTTTGTAGACCAGTACCGGTGCTGCTGACGCAATTTCCAGTATGTAATAGGACTCTGCTGAGATGGTCTGACCCGACTGCAGAAAGTAATAGTGAATTACAACAGCCGCTGATCACCATACATCAATCATGATCTTCAATGGTGGGTTTTGGCCTTTGAGAAGTGCCTGGGTAGCTTATTGGTGTCCAACTACCGAACTGAGGGTCTCCTTTTATCGTAGACAATCCACTTCTCATCAAAGGTGAAAATTCGATTCATAAAGGTGTTGGTTGAGCAAAAGCAAAGAAGAACAGACTTCGAAACGTGACAATTTCTATCAATCGTTCAAATCGAGATTTTTGACGTCTCCAATACGTTTTTAACCATACAAAAATGCATGGCAGCTGGCGCCTGGTTTTTCCACCATCCCACGCACCGTTTCTCATGGGTTAGTCTCCATCAGGGTCCTCAAATCCGTGTCTTGAATTACTGTAGGTCGACCATTTCTGGGCTTATCTTCGAAGCTAAAATTTCCGAAACGAAATTTCACGAACCAACGTCAAATAGTGCGTTCATCAGCACTATCGTTGCCAAATGCCTGGTTGATTTTTTGGACTGGTTCGGCAGCGCTTTGGTTCAATTTGAATTCATAGAGAAAAATTTGCCGAAAATTGCCTAACTATATCATATAGTTATAAGCTTAGAAGGAGCAAAAAATTTAAATTTGTAAAAAATTAACAGCACTGATGTATAGAGTAATAAATTCTTCTTCGATCAGTATATATCACGACACAGTAGAATTAACATTCATTGAGTTATGAAACAACAAAAACTCATGAAAATTAAACTTTCAAAACTTTTGAAACAACGTTATAATTCGAGGTTCACGAATCTTGACTCAAAATTAGGCGCTCTATTTCAGGTTAGGTTAGGTTAGGTCCAAAGTGAGTGGGTCTATTCGACCCTCCACCGTAAATCGTAAGGATTTATTATGGCTCACATCTATTCACACTCGACCAAATAATGAACCCAGCTTCTCAACGAAGCCGATTAGCTTGTATGGTGATTGGTCTTTCAGGTCAGATGGAAAGTACGGCTCTGCCGAACTCTAAAAACCTGATTCGGTCCCCAGCGGGGCAGGCACAAAGTATTTGCTCTGTTGTTTCATCGTTAATGAGGTAGTCGTATAGTCAAGGTGCAAGATTCCCATCCTAATACCCGCGACAACCTTTCCACATGAAGGTTATTGAAACCTTATTTTTTTAGGTTCAGTTATTGGATCAGGAGTTGGAGAATTGATAAGCTCTCGCTCCTGATCTAAATTTACAGAGAGGTCAGTTGGAGTCGTAAGCTTGACATCTATTTCCTCTGTAGAATCAGCGTCAGAAAGAATTTTTAAGTTTACTCTGTCCATAAAAGTTCCACGAGTAGCTAGAGAAAGAAGGTCAATCACGGTAGAGCCCCGCATTATCGTGACAAGGCGATGCTACGACGAGAGGGCGCCCGGTATCTCGAAGGTTACGTAGAGTCAGGATATAGGCTCAGTGTCATTCATCCTCACGGCACGGATACACACGCATCAGGATTAAAACATTGTTGGGATGCCATTCAGTTAGGGAATAACAGAACCACAAGTGATTCTGTCATTCCCGTATCCAGCGGGGCTACGTGAAAGCAGGCATCCGATGGCCGGCTTATTCAACTCCCACATCCCAAGCCAATGCACTTGCCTAAAACAGCATGCACAGTGGTTCAGGCAGTGAAAGATAAAGAAGGACAGCCAACTCTATTTTAGGTAGTGTTCGACATCATTCAGCTATACACTTTGCAGGTTGCGGTGGAAGGTCGAATAGACCCACTCACTTTTGACCTAACCTAATTAACACACTTTGATAAACTTAAAAAAAAATGAAAATATTTGGTGATATGTACTTAAAACTAGTACACGTGGAAATATGAAAGCTGTGTAGGTTTTCTTCTGATATTTTTCTCAAATTCAACGGAGGGAGGTTATAAAACTCAATATGAATGCGGCAATGGCATCTCTTGGCAACTTATTTTCTGGAGGAAAACCTTGGGATTTTGGGGTTATTGCCTGAGAGTTTAATTGGATACAAAAGTGCAAATTTGACTCACTTCTTGTGAACGTTACTTGCGGGCAAACATCTATATTTGGCTTCAAGAAAGTACTCTGTCTAAATTTGGTCGGGTCTCTGTAACCACGTCCTAGTCCAATAACCTCCCCTTTGACAGGAATGCCTACAGGAGAATCTATCGCAGCTGAGAGTTTTCTGTACTTCGCCAATGGTAATCCTGAAAAATTGATGAAATAAATTTTCTAATGATCATTAGATCATAAACATTCTAATCTTGCCTTTCTTTTTGTAATCCGTTTGGTAAATGGTTTCCATTTTTTCATCATCATTATCACATGGATGATCTAGAATATCACTAGATAATATTGCCATCTGAAAGAAGAAATCGTTTGATTTCATCTTCAAAAAAAAAACAAATAACTTCAGTAGTAATCTACGAGAACAGTGTTCAATATTTCACTACATTTGTAAGTGTAAGAAAATTTTGGTTTCGAGATTTCTGCATGATCCTTTGCATTGCCATATCACTGGCAGATTTCTCTTATGAATTATTTTTTTCAATACCAATTCAAAAATGGTAAAACTGAAAAATATCCTCAGAATCTAATGACTTTTCAAATCCATTTGGATCAAATATCACACATTTTCACCTTTTTGCTAAGTTCATCAAGTTGCTGGTAAAGGCTGGACTCTTTTTGGGCGAGTTTTTTGTACCTTCCCATCTCCGGTTCATAAAGATGAGCATCGCAATGGCAGTAAGGTTCAACAAGCCTGGCTACGTAGAAGTTCTTCACTTTGGTTCGGATGGGTGGTTGAGACGGCCTAAAAATATTTGTGTCAATAATATTGTTGTAGATATTTGGGATGTCGTTGCCATCTTGTGACACTGGTTGTCTGTTGAAATTTTCTCCTGATGTTTCGCCGGCCAAGTGGCTGACATTTTCAGAGGTCTCTTGTATCTCTTTCAAAAGTAGAGGTGGATGCATGCTATATTTATGAGTGTCGAAAGAGAGGGGGGAGCCACTTACTGGTTTTTCGTAAAGCTGGTGCCGAAATTGTGTTGATCCTCATGTGTCGTCTTTTCCATTGAAATTGTTGTCAAGCTTGTATATGTCAGTGCTTCATAAATTAAGCGATTGTGAAAGCCTGAGAATGCAAGAAGTTGGGTCTACACGAAGCTTATCCTATGCTTTTCAGTGCTTAGTGCGCGCTCTGCCAGAAGTGATTATCCGTCTTACATGCTCGGAAACCTTCGTGCGAATCGAAGTTTGCTTGTGCCAATATATATCGACTTTGCCGTACTTATTATAGGAGCATGTAATGCGGTAAATTTCTGGTTTTGATTTAGAGTCTCTTCTATCCTTGGGCAATGCTGGATTTTCTTGAAATATATTTTTCGTAGGAGGCGATCTATCATGTCAGTTACTTTTCTAACAAAAGGTAAAAAGGTGTATGTCGTTGCGTCTTGCTTTGTGGGGCGCAACAACAGCTAGAAAATCGATCTCGAACGTGGACAAAGGTCTTTTTACAAAGGCTTTTCATTCCAACTTTTTGTCTACTTATCGATTTTTCACAATCAGTTAGTTCGTTAGGCAATTGAAATGTACAAGCATGACAAGAATTTCAATCGAAAGAAAGAAACAATGACGATCAAGAAACTTACGACATCATCTTTACAGTACGTTAAGAATGTACGAACCTTCCGAGCAGATCGGGTCGGCCGAACAACCTGCACTTATATGGTTTCGTAAGTCCACTCCCACTACTTCCATTTATAAATTCACAAAGTTCTTGGTGACTTCGAAACGAAGTGTGGAACCAATTTCGTTCTTTATACCATATACCATAGGCGTATGCTCATATAAAAACGAAATTGAAGGTTATTATAGAATATTTTGTGATAAATTACTTATAACCAATTTCAAAAACTAAAAACAATAGTAATAACAGCAAATAAATTAAACATATCAATTTCCGAACGTTTATTATAACTAATCTGATGTCCGTAGACCGTCAAATCCTTCGATACTACAGCAGCATTAATATATTCTGTGTCACGAGCGCTCCGGTATACCACAAAGCACGTATATATAGAGAAAACTCTCAAATGGCCCCTAGCAGAACTTGGTTTTATTATGTTAACGGATCCGGTATGGCGCTGTTGTCAAAAATCTGTTTCTGTGGATAAAACAGATTACCTACCTATCATCCGATATCCGACCGTCAAACGTCAATGTCGTCAATCAAATATCAAATCGTTATTCATCCTGTCATTATCATCCGATCCGACTGACGATGACACAAATAATGTGTACGTATAGTTATAAATTAGTATGCGTCTGTCAATATCAGTAAACTTTTTTATTTCAATTCATTCATTTCGTTATTCGTGTGTTTGATTGTGAAAATTAACTCAGGAAGTGTTCGCCCCCAGAAGAGCTGTGTACCAAACTGTAATGATTTGCAAAGTGAACGTCATCGGTTTCCTCAACCAGAACTTGAGCCAGAACTTTTAGAATTGTTGATGGAAAAAGTTAAAAATCTGTTACTGAACAATAAAACGAAGGATCAGATTCATAATAGTATATGTAGAATTTTTTTCACTACTAACATTGATATATTAACAATTTCAATTTTGGCATTAGTAATTTTCTAACAATTTGTTGAATATATCGGAATATCAAGTAGAGTGGAGCGTGTTTCTAATCAGACTGGCTTTATTCATGTCAAAATTTGGCATGTGTCAAATTTTAATATAAATCTAGGAAATATCTCATTGCATTTTTGATATATTTCAATGTTCCACTTCTATCATCGCTTCTGTATGTTCAGAACTTATAATTTCTCAATTCTGCATTATAGTGAGAAAAAAAAATCCTTGGTTATATGATAACCCAAGGCAGCTATAAATTGTTGCATGTCAAATTGAAACGGTACAGTTTCCATATTGAATACGTGATGTCGATGATAAGCGCGCAACATCTACTTAGGCCATGAAAACGTTTGCCGGTGTTTCCATGACAACCAAACACTGTACAAGGCAAAAAGGTATCGACATTGTGGGCAAATTATTCCATGCTAAAAACGACATTTGCAATAAAAAAAAATATTGACATTTCAAAGTTTTTCAAGCTTGTAGCATTTTTTAAACGAAAAAACAGTAATTATAAATCTAAGAAATCAAAAGTATTTACAAAGGAAGAAATTGACAAATTTATAGTTGAAGCTCTTGATGACAAAAATTTATCAAAAAAGGTATACTTTTTTATTATTAGATTGTGTTTAATTTTTTAATGGAATGATATTTAGGCTGTTATGGTATACCGTAATATCTAAATAACACTGAAATTTAAATTTATTTAAATGACTAAAAAGAAAATCTTCACGGATTTCCACTAAACGGACAAAACCACAACAAAACAGCAACTGTGCCAATTTCGACAAAACAAAAACTTTATTTGTCAAAGTGAGAAACATTTCGGAAACTTTGTGTCGCAGGCGACTGTTTTCTATCAACAATGAAATGTCCCGTCGGCAGGCGGAAATATCAAAAAGTTTCGGTGTTTTGTCTGTGTTTTTGTAAAGGGAATTTGCAATGTTGCAACGGTCGGCGACCGTTCGATTATCGGCACTAGGCAGACTATTTTCATGAATTTGTTGTATTGTTTGTTTTAAACAAGATTGAGACTTAATTATCCTTTGTAGAACATGAGGGAAAAAATAATTTAATTCCTATTTGTGTAGTGCAAATGAGAGAAAACATTTCATAACAAAATATGCGACTCAAACTTGTTTTTGTCTGTGTGGTGTACTTCGAGTTTCGAATTTGTTTTCGAAATTGAAAAAAAATTTTGTTACTGTTTTTGATAACTAGTGGCAAGTGAATCCGTCTCAATTTGCACACGTATGGAATTACTGAGCAAATTACCAGACTAAATACGAATAAGTTTTCATAAAAACATCATTATAACATTGGCATATAATCGTGTTCTGCGATTATTTATAACGTATTATAAATTCCGGTCTTTTCTTTATTAAGCAGTATTTTGATAATCCAACAACTGTATACATTTCAGTTTGTAATTTCCTACTTTGTCTACAGGAAGTACAGGAAGTTATAATGAATGAATAACAAAAAATACAAACGTGTTCAACATTATCGGAAAAATTTGATAGTTTTGTTCATCTTAACACGAACCAAAACGATTTCACACGCAGTTTAACTGACGATGATAAATACCGTTTAAATATGATATTATAGAATACTACTAAAAATGTTGGAATATTTACAAAATACTCATTCTGCTCACCTGGAAACTATTGGTTTGGGATAAGGCCATTTGTAGTCCCTCCTGTTACTGGTGAGAAAAGTATCCTTATCTACAGTCATTGTATCTGTATTTCGCACTTACAATTTGGACTCTCATAAATAAGTTCACTTACTGGCGATTTTTTTCATCACCAAATTTGTCACAGTGCGTAGTTGAGGCCAAAGGAAGTTGAATAGGAGTCTCAGGATCACGTAAACCGCAAAATTTTGTGACAATCTTATCAAAATGTTCAAATATTCCATTTTGTGGTAAGCGAATGACAATCGTGACAGTTCATGATGACGGCTAGTTGTCCAAGTTGCTTCACGTTTGTTAGGTTTTTGGTCGAAGATTGTAGTTTCCTCCATGACAGTGTAAAACATCTCTATACGACATTTGTCCCCACTTTTCGATGATGTCATTTTTAACCAAAGGTTGTTCCGAGTACGGATTCCAAGATGTTATTTTGGAGGTTATTCTGGATCCCATACCTTGAACATATCCACTACGGGTTTTGAGAATGCAAACATTTGTGTGAATACTCACAAGTTCCTGGTTCCTCAATCATGTCATTTTTGTTAGATCTGAAGCTACTCTTTATTTCATATGGAGTATAATATGGACCAGGAGGTAATTTAGGACACGTGGAATAGGACTGGTACTGCTTTCCTTCAATAAACATATTTGATTTTGAACAGTTATTCACTTTTCTGTTAAAATTATGAAACATACATAGGATAACGTACTCAAAAAACACATTTCAATGTGAAAATCTCACATTAAAGTGTGTTTTTTGAATAGGTCATAATGGGTTTTCTTCAAGTATCGGTCTGTTTGATCATATTTAAGAATAGGATGTGATAAAGATGTAGTAATGAGGTAGTGATTAGGCAGCGCTGTTTACGAACGACAGTTCCTATGCGCGCTGGCAAGATATATGCTTGATAATAATTGACTTGAAAATTGAAAGTGACATTGCCGTGTCAGATAGCTGATACATTTTTCGAGTACTACAGACACCAGGATGTAGGTGAAGAAATAAAACATGTATTTACCTAAACTATATGCATCCAACAAACAAAGCAACCCAAACAATGATTGATGCGTGATCAAAACGATCACCACGCATATTTGCATCTATTGGGTGAAATAAACAAGCCTCCTTACGCTGACCAATCAGATTAACTGCAATCGACTGGCGGAATTCATTGTTTCAGGTATATCGCTACAGTGTCGGAGTGGTCAGTTACGTTTTAACGCCTGTGGTGTGTACGGTATTTTGAAGTTTGAAATTTAAAAAAGTCAAGTACTGACATGGCTGAAGAAACTGCTAATTTGTGTCCCTACACTCCATATAAATAGAAATGAAAAAACTGCACCTCACTATTAATGAAAAAACTGTAATTATCAACATTTACAAAAATCAAATTGAAGCAAATCCTGTATTGTCGGTTGATGAAATTGTGTGCTGGAGTGTCTCTTTCAAGTAGGTATCTATGGAGTTATGAGAGAATATTGTTTTTCGGCTCCAAAACCATATCCCTCACGAAAGAAAATTATTAATAAAGTATACGATTTTGATTTGAACGCTATCAGAAGAAAAGTACATCATTTTTTTCCGAAACGAAATGCCTACAATAAATTCCGTTCTAAAAGTTGTAAACGATGATCCTGATCTACCAAATTTCAAAAGGTCGACATTCCACCAATTATTAAAAAGAAGTTTCAGATTCAAAACAAGTGGGGGAGAAATATTTTGTTGCTCGAAAAACCAGAAAAAGTATTGCGGTCACGACATATTTAATGAAAATAAGAGCCAACAGACGAGAGAATTGAAAAATCTATTATCTGGATCAAAGGTGGGTAAACGCATCAGGCGAATTTTGAAACAGCTCAATATCAACAAGGCGCCTGGCCCTGATGAAGTGCCCGTCATCGTACTTAAAATGTGTGCAAATGAACTCGCACCAGTATTTTGCAGACTTTTCAACCTATCTTACAAGAAATGAGTTTTTCCTTCTTGTTGTAAGATTGCTCGCGTTCAGCCTATTCCTAAAAAGGACAAGAAAAATCTTCCAAATAACTTGCTTTGCTATCAGTGATATCAAAATCATAGAGAAAGTCGTAAACCACCATATCCTCAAATATTTGAAAGGCTTTAACATCTTGAGCGATTATCAATATGGCTTTCGGAAAGATCAACAGGCGACCTTCTATCTTATGTCACCCATATTGGGAATAACGCAATCGAGAAACATGGAGAATCAAGAGCTGTTGCGCTTGATATTTCCTAGGCCTTTTTAGATAGTAGGCCTTTGACCGTGTGTGGCATGAGGGTTTGCTGGCCAAGCCTCGACGCCATGGTTAGTCGGATCATTTTTGTGTATGGCTCTCCAGCTTCCTGAAAGAACGTTCCCTTTAAGTGACTGTCGATGGATATCTCTCGAATACTTTCACTATCAACGCTGGTGTTCCCCAGGGATCCATATTGTCTCCAAACCTCTTTTTATTGTATATCAACGACTTATTTGAAAAAACCAAGGATCCAATATATTGCTTTGCTGACAATAGCACACTTGTCTCGTCATTTCATTTGGATTCCAGGACATCGGCTACGGAGGTACATCTTCACCGGCAGCAGGAGGTTGCATATCTTAATGGGTATCTAGAAGTGATTTCGAATTGGGGTGAGAGTAACCAGGTTCAATTCAATTACATAAAAAACCAGGCATCGGTTTATTCCAAGAAGATAAATGTTTCCGAACCGGATATAATGATATCAGGTCAGATTCCGCTTTCTGCTTCGATAAGTTGGTGGTTGAAATGGACACCAATATGGCTTGGCATATTGTTCTCATGTATGGAGCTCTGCCCCCAAACATACCCTGAAGTTGCTGGATTTCACCCAGAAAAGAGCCATATCGCTGGTTGGAGACACGAACATCACGTGCAACCTTGAAAGCCTGGAACATCGAAGAAAGGTTGGAATTTTGTCTCTCTTTTATAGATACTTTCGCGGAAAGTGTTCAAGTGACTCGGCATGCTTGATTTCACCAAGAGCGGTACCTATCAGAAATACGCGACGAACTGTGGCTGCTCATCGTTTTGAGGTTTAACTCAGTACCCCTCGAACTTCACTGTTTAGGAACTTTTTCATCTGGTGAACAGCGTTTATGTGGAATTAACTTCCTGAGAACGGTTTTTCGAATGGATTTAATCTCCAGCGATTCAAATCCAATGTGAATCGCTACTTTCGCACAGTTACCGCTCTGAGAGCGCCTTAATAATGTTTCTGTAGTTCTCGTGTTTTGTCCTAAAAAAAAGATAAAGCAGAAATGAAAATATTGAGATGAGACCCTCTAATGGACGATTTAGTTAACAGAAATTCGATCATAATTAATCTTAGTGATGATTCTCCTAGTAGCAGTTCTTCAGAATTAGTAATCGGTCTAAAATGACAAGACGTTTTATTTTTTTTTCAATGTATACACTCAAACGTCATTTGGAAATCAAAACCTGTTCACCCGTTTGTCCTGCTGGAATATGTTATGTTAAATACACAAAATTGTTTTTGTTTTCCTCATTGGTTTAACTTTGAATGATTTTCCTATATCCAGCCGCATATTATTGAAAAAAATGGTTGTTCCTTCGTGCGACTCGGTACAATTAGCCTTGTCTGGGAGACACGTGCACTATTCATGATACCCATTGTATCCATTGTACTCCACCCATCTAAGCACTCCTTTTCTTAGATGGGTGAGTACAATAGCGTAAGCTTCGCAGATTTTTTTTTAGTTACTCACACACTCTAGTAGAGCTGCTGAAGCATATGTGCTTCAGATTCCTATAAGAGTACTACCAATCGCTCATTTTCAGGTCAGGTCAATCAATTTTCTTCCATATTTAGATATTAGTTTCTTGGACGATATTTAAAGTGAGTTCATAATTTTGTCACCGAAGTTCTGGTAAGAGGTGTTTCTGACTCTTGTGACCCCCACTGGGTTCAGAAGTTGAGGTTTTTATGGGTTTGAAGAGATGGAGAACAATGAAATGAACACATCGGGACAAATATTGATATCTTGGAAATGACAAATTTTGAATGGGTCCCAAACACCAGAACTGCAATACAAGAGTGTTGCAGTGTTGGCGTTTGAGACCCGTTCTTGTTTTTGCTCATTCTACGCCAGAGGTTCTAGTTCTACTTTTGATTCGGATGAAACAAGAACGATTTCAATAACATAAAATTTATTTTTCTCATTCACAATGAGCCTACGACACATTTTCTCATGAAGACATTGTCTAGAAAAGTCTTTTTGCCTGTACTCCTGCTTTTCTTCGAATAGGATCGTGAAGTCCGTCTCTGATGATGAGGTTTCCCAGACGGGAAACAGTATCTTGGTATTCAGTGCATCCTGGGGTGAGAGTGAAAGTTCCCCCTCTGCAGCTACCAACTGAAAAATGAAAAATTTTACTGAGGTGTCTCAAAAAAGGTCGCTAACAGTTGGACGCGTATCAAAAAGTAACTATCCATAATAATAATTGAACAATTCACACAATTTTTTCTAAGTTCTAGACTCGTTTCGTCGAAACCGTAGCTGCTTTATCGGTAGTAATGGCACATATTAAATATTTTAATATTTGGTAATGGTGTTAGTAGTGGCTACGGTATTAGCAAAACGCGTCTGGAATAAAAAAAAAAGTTTGTTAAAGTTGTTCAACTATTATCATGATAGTGTATCATGTGATGAATAGTAACTGGTGAAAAAAGATTGGGATAAGGCCGCTCATAAAAATATATGTGTGTTTTGTAACAGTTCATTGGAAATCAGTATTTGCACTTCTTGTAATGTCGGTAGGTCTATCTGAAGTGAGTGGGTCTATTTGATTCTTCTCTGTAATCCGTCAGGGTTTATTGTGGCTTATTTTATCTATTTATCGTATGGCAATTCAGACACAGTAATCTTAAAAGGCTAATTAATGCATACATTGTGCAAAAGCCAAATGGAATAAGTTAATTATTTCTGTTACTGTACATATTTAAAAAAATCCCAGAACACGTCAAACACGTAAATTATAATTTGACATTCTTCAATGTGAAAATGCCACCCTTACCTTCAACCCACTTCGAATGACACGTACAACCCCCAATTTTTAAAAAGGGAAGTATAGGTTTGTGATATATCGTTTGAAAGGTCTCTTCATTCTCAAGTTTATTGCAACATTTAAAATAAAATGAATTAAAATCATGTTGTTACCGAAATTCGATAAAATACACTCAACAACTAAAATGTAATGCAGAACGTAATGAAATGTAAAATACGAAAAAGAACTATGGTTGTTGACGAAGTAGATAATCAAAATGTTCACCGCGCACGTATTGGCAACATCCTAATCTCAAATAAAAGTGTCTTCTAACGTTATTTAACATATCAGACGTGACGGACCTAATCGCAAGCGTTATTATGTGGAAATCTGAAGGTTTAGTTTTGTACACACTACTCTTTACATATCCTCATAAAAAGAAATCTAATGATGAAAGATCAAGTGATCGCGCTGACTATTCAATGGATCCTTGCCTCCCTATCCACCGATTGGAAAATGTTGTATCGAGGTATTGCCGGACATGAACTTGGTAATGTGGTGGTGCTCCATCCTGCTGAAACCATATTGTATTCACTGAAACTTGAGGGTTTTCTGGATCAGCATATACATTTGCTAAACTTGGAATAACATCATTTTGAAGTAGTGCCAAATAATTATCGCCATTCAAGCGGCCCTCAAAATGGTTTTCTATACAATCTCTTCTCAAACATTAACCTTTTGAGGGTATTGCGTCTATTCTTCTCTTATCCAGTGAGAATTTTCCGTTGACCAGTAACGGCAATTTTGCCGATTAGCATGACCGTTAAGAGACAAAGTACACTCATCAGAAAACATAACGATATAGTTATCCATTTGCTTGCATAAAAATAAGTTTTTCTATCAAAATCGTCTTTCATGAGCTCCTGAGTAGGTATCATTTTATAGAGATGCATTTTATTTTCTTTTAATATATTTACCATCGATGTATGGCTAACAAACTCAAGCATCACACCTAATTCGAGTTCATCACTCATTGCATTGTCAGCTGCTTTTTTATCTGCCCCACATGACCAAGCTCTAGAAACTGCTTCTCTATTTTTCTTATTGTTCCTTGATATATGAGCGGTAAATTAGGAAATTTCCCATGAAATAGGCGAGCTACTTCCTGATGTGTTCGGCTTTCATCTCCGTAACCAATCATTTGTAAAACTGTTATTTTATGCTTTTCCGTCAATCTAACTATTTGTCAGACTTGAAGTTGACGAACTTTAAAATACTGATGATGAATGTTGTAACATACAAAACAAGTTGATAAGGCGTTTCAAACTAACGTTGCCACGGAAATTATTTACAGTTTTTTAAAGGATGCTATCTAAAAAGAACATTGCTATGGTTTTTGCCCACTTTCTTATTATCAATACCTCAACATGAAATAAGTTTTGAGTATATTGCAATAAGTTTGAGTGTATTTTATCGAATTTCGGCAACCACATGATTTTAATTTATTTTATCTTAATTGTTGCAAATTACTTGAAAGCGATAATATTTTTGAATAGACAATGAAGAAATTTTTCAAATGATTTATACACAAGCACAGCTGCTTTTTTATCTGCCCCACATGACCAAGCTCTAGAAACTGCTTCTCTATTTTTCTTATTGTTCCTTGATATATGAGCGGTAAATTAGGAAATTTCCCATGAAATAGGCGAGCTACTTCCTGATGTGTTCGGCTTTCATCTCCGTAACCAATCATTTGTAAAACTGTTATTTTATGCTTTTCCGTCAATCTAACTATTTGTCAGACTTGAAGTTGACGAACTTTAAAATACTGATGATGAATGTTGTAACATACAAAACAAGTTGATAAGGCGTTTCAAACTAACGTTGCCACGGAAATTATTTACAGTTTTTTAAAGGATGCTATCTAAAAAGAACATTGCTATGGTTTTTGCCCACTTTCTTATTATCAATACCTCAACATGAAATAAGTTTTGAGTATATTGCAATAAGTTTGAGTGTATTTTATCGAATTTCGGCAACCACATGATTTTAATTTATTTTATCTTAATTGTTGCAAATAACTTGAAAGCGATAACATTTTTGAATAGACAATGAAGAAATTTTTCAAATGATTTATACACAAGCCATTCAAAACATTGGGGGTTGTACCTGTCATTCGACGGGAAATGAAGGTAGGGGTAGCATTTTTCAGTTGAAGTGTGTCAAACTATAATTTAAATTCGACGTGTTTCGGGATTTTGTTAAAATATGTACCGTAACCGAAATAATGAATTTGTTCCATTCGGCTTTTACACACTGTATAAGCTAATAAAACAAAGTTTAGGATTTCACAAACACATATTAAGTCGGTTAATATAATCTATCGACCGGGCAGTTGCCAGCAGAAAGTCTTCAGGTCTACTGTTGTAGGATCTTGTGGGACATTCCTCGGTGATGTCTTTAATCGTTTGATATTCTCCGCAGTCGTAGTATGATGACGGTTGTTTGCCCCATTTATGCAAGAAGTATGCGCATCTGCCATGTTGCGTTTTAGTTCTGTTAAGTGTAGACCAGGTTCTGTGTGGTAGGTCAAACCCTGGGGGCTTTTGGGTAATACAGGGTAATACAGGGCCTTGTTGAGGGGTCCATTTTTGGATCCATGCATTGGTCAGGTTGAACTCCTCTTGCATTGCTGCACTTGCCTTTAATCGATGGAGCGAAGACGATTGTGATTAGCGTCCTCAATGTCTTGATGTATTGGCAGATTTCTTTTTCTATTGTAGCCATCCAGGCCGGAATGTGTAGCTCTGGAAACGTTGTCGGTTGTTCAAGGTGCAAGATTTTCACTTTGATTCCTACAGAAACCTTCCCGTATGGATGCAGCTGTACGTCAGCTATTCCTGATGATACATTAGGTTCAGCAATGCAAGGTTTTTTCATATCTGGTTTTTGTGAACCATCGTTTGAGTAAAAGCGTTTGCAGGAACTATTCGGGGGAAGATTGTTTCTTTTACTGAAGCAGATTCTGCTTCTGTTGCTCAAGAATTTGATACGTGGCGGATTCATAAGGTAGCCTTATCTAGAGGAGGTTTTTTCAAGTGTCGGAGAACTAAGAAGCTCCTGCTATTGATTCAATGTTAATGGGAGGACATTGGTGTGGTTTAGTCAACCTTGATCTTCTATCGTAATTTTGAAATTGCGATTGAATTTCGTGAGTTCAAAATAACAACTTCAAATTAGAAATTTTCACCTTGTTTTCGTGAATAAAGTCGTAATTTCTAGATTAAAGTAAAAATTTCGAGTTTCAAAGTCGTTATTTTCTTTGGAGAAACCGAACTTGTTCGAGATAGCAATAGTGGGATTAGCTAATAAAAACTGCCTGTATATTACACGAAAAATACTGATTTCAATGAAGTGTGTAAAAAATACATATATTTTTCCACGCGAAGTTATCTCGCGCGACCAATTGCACGCGATCTTACCTTTTCTTATCTTGAATCATTTAGTTCCTAAGTGATAAAATCGAATTAACTACCACATTACAAATTGGCTTGAAGTAAAAAACTTTTTTCGCTATTGTTAAACATTCAAAGTGATGTGAAATGTGAATTATGTTAGATGTTTTATATAAAACTCAGAAGGCATAAGGCAAACAAACTGAATGTTTGTGGGATTCTTATGTATTTGTTCTATATAGGGTAATGCAAATTCGACCCCATTGGAATCTCCTAAACTACAGGAGATAAGTCGAAGCTTAACTTGGGGCCGAGTTGCGGTTTTTGTGTTTAACAAAATACTGTTTTGAAACTTGTAAAATTCCGAGTATTTTCGGAAATATCCAGAAAAAACTGAACATCGGAATTTTGGTTTTATTTTTTTCTAGCGTTATTTGACAACATAGCTCAAAACCAAAAACTTTTTTCAGCTACACGTTTTCATATTCAGATTCACTATCCGACATTTCGTCTTCCGGCAATCATATTGTTTTTTAATACAGAAAAATGATGGTGTTTCTCATTCTGATTTCATTGATGTATAATTTGTTATGATTTGCTCTTCTGAAACTACAGGTATTAAAAAAACAACTTCACCTGAGACGGTCTTGACTCCACTAAAAAATTTTCTTTAATAAACAATAGTTGTCAGAACTCATCAAATATCATAAGTTTACACAAATACTTCAGTCGAAATGTCCTCATTTTCAAATGAAGAAAGACGAGGTATATTGAAACGCAATTATAAATTAGATATGAATATCAATTATATCCGGAATTTTCGGAATTTTGGATAAACACTTGGCTGAGTACGGTGCGGTTCAAAAACCAAGAATGAAGTATGGAAGCAGAATGGAACAAAATACTAGAAATAACTTATTAGCCGAGGTAAAATAACTGTTCTTTCCATATTCGAAGAAGCATAGTTATTTTTGGTACTTTTTTAGATAAATGTATATACTTCCAGATCAACCCATCGAGTCTGGGCAGAAATGTATGTGCCACGAGCGTTTGTAAAAGAATTCAAAAAAATCTTTTGAAATGTTATAAGATACATATTTCACAAAACTTACATCAGGGTGATCCTGGGAGGTGTGTAATAGAAATAATGAGCACATTTAGTTCTCTAGAAACAAATTCGAAGAATATATAGATACGTTTCCCTTGTTAGTTATAACAACTGCTGGTTTTAGCATGACGGGGCTCCTCCACACAATAAAACCGCAGTTTGTGACCAAATATTTCTCCATATAGGTGGTTAGGAAATTCTGGAAAGTGAGGTGACTGGCAATGTCACCTGACCTTACAGTTTTGGATACTTTCTCGTGGGGCACTTTGAAGAACAGAATCTATAGAGAGGAAGAATATGACACAGTGGGTGAACTCAGAGAAAATATCAGCACGCGATTCAGGTCTATCAGAAGAAGCGATATTGTTAGTGTTCTTAATTTGGGACGACGAGCTTGTGTATTTAAGAGGAAGGCCATCATTCCGAACACTTGTAATACTTTTTGTGCATTTTTAACAAGCTAATGATTTCATTCTTAGTTTTTGAAACGCATCGTACTCGGCCAAGTGTTTGTCAAAAACACCGAATAATNACGATGGAAGTCTGAACTAATGAAATAAAATTCATAATTACTGAAAAAATACGTTAACTGCCCATTTCTACCAATTTTGTATACACGGTTGACAATTGCACATAGTAAATATTTCGAAATTCACCGCACTCACCAACTTGCTTCGCATCTTCACTTTTACCCCCTGCAGTTCCCCATCGGCCACCGCTTCCCATACCACCCCCGGTTCCACCTCCGGGGCCCCGCCTGGTAATCATGGATTTCTGGATGGGCCTGCACAGGTCTCCTGGAAGGCGGACTGGTTCGGGGCAAGGGGCCAAGCCGTCCACCCCCGCAGCTCTTATCAGTTCGTCATACGGTGCTGATGGATATTCCCCTAGAAAGAAAAATATCAATGTTTTGAATTGTATTCTTCATGTGTCTCACCTAAAGACGGCTATTGGTTTCATAAGGTGCGTGTGTCATAATTCACTTTGAATTCAACTTGACTACTATACTCTTTCTATGACTAATACTAGTGGGAGAACAATGAGATCTCTTTGCATATAAGTAGTTTGATATGTTCATTTGTACCAAACTAACAATTCTAGTCTCTATTGATATTTGTGGTTATTCGCGAATATGGATAAAAAAAGAAGGAAAACAACCACTTATTACTGTCGATGAAAGGATTCATTGGAAAATTGGTTATCAATATGGTTTAAATTTGTACTGATTTGACCAGAAAGTGAATGATCCAATTTCATTGACTAAGAGAAAATATTTTTAGGCTTCCTGCTTCACTATGATTATATAAAAAATGTGGGAAACTCTCTAAAAGAGGAAGAAAACAACAAGTTCAAAATAAACTATGTACAGAGATGAAAAAACGCTTTCAAAACAACTACTTTCACATAATCATTGAATTCAGTTTGAACTCCAAAAATTTGTTATGGAAGTGAAACAGATATCATTCACCGCTGCTCTTTAGACCTCTTTCTATTACGTTGTGTAACGTTTCCGTTTCAATTCCATAACAAATGTTTGGGGTAAAAACTGAATGAAAAACAAGTGATTATCGTGTCATTCAATATTCATATGAACGTAGTTTTTTCGAAACGGCTTTTTTTCCACTTCGTATCTGAAAAAACTTTTGTGCATGGTCTACACATCTTTGTAGAGTTTATTCTGAAATTAGTTGCTTCTTTTCTTTCCTCCAATCTTTCTAACATTTTTTGATGAAGATAAAGAAGTATAAAACGAAATAGTATATTACACACCTAGGGAGAAAAGTACGGCATTCTTTTGGTCATTTCGCAGTCGAGGATGTCGTACTCTTCACCTGTGGTGCGTTACGATTTTTTCTATCTGCGGTATGAAAAGTTTGATGCTTTCATTGATTTAGCGTTTTTCAATCACAGAATAAAAATTCAAATGTCGTCACGTATTTCAAGTTGTCATAGACAGTTTGATAAAGAATTCGTCGCCAGGTTACCGAAAGGAAAAGTAAGTTATGAGCATGCGCGTTAGTGTTATCTAACCTGGAGAGAACAAGGCACTTTTGTCCCGCACTCAGGAGAGGAAAAGCGAACTTTTCATTTCGCGGTGCCAAAAATTAATATATCGTAAAAAATATCACACTTTCAGAAACTGAATTCATGTGAATGTTGAGTACCTTCTTTGAGATCATGTTCGGCTACAGCTGATTTGTCGGTGTGCCCGAGGTGACGATTTCTCTTGTGTTCAGAGAGGCGGGTACCTATCCTCATTTAGGTGGTTCCACGACCCGCAGCTACAAGGAAGTCGGTATACTCCGTGAGTTGCTGAAGACTCTCTGGGGTCCTTAGCTGATCTTAGACTTCCTCTGATAGTTTTCGTTGGCCGGAATGATGGTTTTACATCGTGTATCTCTAAAATTCTCTCAATTCGGTCTGTAACATTTTTAACATAGGAAAGGAAAGATCTTCCCTTAACGTTACTTTAGCGTTCTCCCTCATGTGTTGTATGGCCAGCTCAAACTCTTCTTAGCTGGTCTATGGTCTATGGCCCAATGTCCCATCTTTACGACTGTTAACAAGAACATCCAAGAAGGCTGTAATCCCTTGTGTTTCTCATTCCATTGTGAATTAGACGTTTTGGTTGAGAGAGTTCATGTGCGTAATAGAAAATCTAGTGTCTCTTCACCAACATTCTCAATACTCAAAATTCCGGAAGTCGGATCCCGACTGAGTCTTATTTATATCCCTGGATCGAGTTTGGGGACACTTTTCTCATTTCAATCCTTGGTGTTCATCACGGCAGTGGCATTTCCTTTGTTATCAGGCAATACCAAGATGTTCCTATGAGTATTGAGATTTTTTAGCGCCTCTCATTCCCGTCGTGTTGTGTTGACCTTGTGTATACATTCGCAATGATTTCTTCGTGGTAAACTTTGACTGGTGCTATAGCGAAGTTTCCATCTTTGGCGAGTATGCTGACTTCATCTTCCGAATGTGTGCAATCGGAGAGGTTGACCACTGTTTTTCTGTTTTACTGTGGTGAAGTACTTTCTGGCTCTTTATATATCATTTGGTAATGGCTAATCTTGTGGTTTCCATTGTACACAATCACTCAGTTGCATCGAATTACCAAGTTTGATAGTGATGTGCATCAGGCTACACCCTTTCTGTTCAGATGGATTCTTTTTTGTAATAAAGCTTTCTTGGAGGGTTTGTAGATTCCATCAGCATGTGGTGTCTTGAAATTCCTTTTTGTCCGAAGGAATTTATTGATCACATCGGTATCGCGACACCGTAATAGAAATATCAGCGAACACAACGTGTTAATTTTTTTCTTGCCGAGTACTTCCGTACGTCGTAGTAGGTTTGATGTCTCCTTTCCGTAAAGGCGGTTGATCGAAAAGTTTAAACTTTCACGGCAGGGGTAATAATTGTGTCGAAGCCACAGTCCGTGGTCTGATGTCTCACCGACTACTGCAATATTTTTAATTTTTTTTTGTCTACGGAAATTCAAAAAAGTACAGGAACATCCTCAAAAAGTACAACGTTTGTGATGGAGAAATTGTAAATAATGAAATTATTAATTATTATTATGAAATAGAAATGATTCCTTTCACTCATTATTGCGTATGAAAAATATTTTCCGTATTCGACAATTTTGGTAAGTGGTAGAATCGATGCAAATTCAAACATACCCACAACAACACACACACATACACACACAACGATTTTCATTCATTCATATAATGAACGAAAAACTTGGTTCGAAATAACACAACATGATACCAAAGAGTCATTAATAAATACCACTTCTTTCATTTGTGAAAACCATTTCCACGAAGATTGAATTTGTGATAATTTTGTAACAAGTTGCTACTTGCCAAGGAATAAAGCAGAGGGGAGTTGTTGCTTTAGAATGTTTTTTACTAAATATACATCGCTACTCATCCATTAAATCATTAACACATCCATCTCTCATATTAGGTAAAATTTGATCCCAATAATTTTGTTACGTTATCAAGACTGTATTTTTTATTTGTCATTATTTCTTATTTCTTTCATTTGATTCTCCGCATTTCTGCAGATGCAAACAATGCATTATCACTTTGTTGATAGGAGATGTCGTATTGCGGCCCTTCTCATCGACGGGGAAACGGAGAGTCAATTTTGTACACGTTTTCTAGTTTATTGTATGATATGAATGTTTGTGGCTCGAAGTACATCGTGCATCGTACTTTTATATTTGTATTGTTGTCGAGAGAGACATCCCAAATGCCAAGGGAAGGTGATGATCGTATCACCCAAGAACAATAATCAGATTGACAGGCAAACGAGTATATACATTTTTGTTCGGGGAACAAGTGAATATATAAAATTACCTTCATCATGAAAGCGTTTGGTTGATTATATCTACCAATTTTGGATTCTGGGGCAGCTGAAACCTTGGCAGGAAAGAGTTTGGGATCCAATAAAGGCCCCATTGGTCCTGAACGACTCCATTGGTCACCACTGAGGGCTTCTGGGCCGAAAATAGTTTTCTGTTCGCTGGTTGGACGAACCTCGGGAAGGCAGTGACAGGCGCAATATTGTTCATCTCTATATCTTGGTTGGTATATGCGATCAGGTTCAGGTCTGGAAAAAATGATTATTTTTCTGTTTCATCTTCGTAAAATTGAGAAGGAAACTAGCAAATATATGAGCTGGAAGGTTTAGAAAAGTTAACAGGGACATAAAAAGGCTAATAGACAAATGAATAGGTGGAATTGAAATGAAATAGTTTTGATACTTTTCAGTAGATTCATACCCTCAAATTATATGAGTATTTCACTCCACATAGTGAAGAATACATTCCTTCTTTCATCAGTATACACGTAAAAATCAGTTTGAAATTCGCACGCAGTTTGCTTAAGGTTTTTCATTAAACTTCCTTCTCACCTCAGTCCAAGAGTTTTCACGTACGGCCAAAGATAGTCCTTTCTGTAAGTTGTTACAAACTGTCCTACAACCATATCGATGGATTTTCATCAGAACTTTACTGTGAATTTCGAAAAATAAGAAATTATGCACTAAAAATTTTGATAGTTTCAGTGAAACTTTACTAATGACAATTGAGTTTTACTGACATGATTATGACGTTTTCTGAAGGCTGGTTTTACGGATCGAAGACATGTTGATACCTTGCGTGAATAATGGTATTCTTTCATATTTTGCTGTGTCCGCTGAAACGCCAAGAAACCATTATATTTATCGTTGCAAGGATACATTACTTCTTCAAACAAAAATATAAATTTTCAGTTGAAGTTCAACAGATTCTATGTCGCATAAAAACTTTTTCAGAAGCATTTTTCGATGATTCAACGTTTCAAATATGATATTTGACAAATGAGGAGACGATTTTTCGTTGGAGGCCCATCTATTAGTCACACCCTTTTTTGATTTCTTCTGGGATAGTGCTTTGGAGCAAATTATAATCATTCATCAAGCAGGAGTGACGATGAAGAGACGACCTATCTCTGCCAGCCTAAATCTACAAAAAACGTAACCTCAATTTGATCTAACTTATTCCTGAATGTAACAAAGGGTGGTAATACATAAATATAACTCTTTTCTCTTGAACCAATTTGATGAAGTTGAAGACCTTGGTGTCATATTTGATGAAAAGTTGTCATTCTCGTCCCATGTTAATAAAATTACATTAAAATCACTTAAACTTCTTGGATCGCTAAAGACTCATCGTCAAGTATGATGAAAATTGTGTATTGTTCATTAACTAGGTCACATTTAGGTAATGCATCCATTGTATGATGACCTCTTACTTAGTTTACAAAACATCACTGGATAGGGTTCAAATTAAATTCTTGCCTAGTGCTGCCTACAAAATAGGCATTCGAATGGACCAGCAACATTACCACATCGATATTCTTTCTTCACTACATCTAACCACATTGGAAAATAGGCGGATTCAGGCTGACCAAATATTTCTATTTAAATTATTTTCAGGCCAAATTAATTGCCCAAAACTTCTCTCTTTGGTTGGCCTGACAGTCAAGCAAAGAGTAACAAGGGGTAATATAGCTGTTTCCGTTGAGAACTCACGTCCTACCAATTATAGATTTAATAGTCCAATGTCAAGAATGTTGAGGAAAGCATCAGAACATGATTTTTTCTCTTACTCCTTGGGGGTTTTCAAAAAGTCTGCAGTCAATTATGTGTTCAGTCTACAGATTTTGGGTGAATACTACGGAAAACACTACTGGAATATTAATCACAGCCAATATTTGAATATCATTTCGCCTAGGAAGCGTCGACCAGTGAGTGTCTAAAATTAAATCGTACTCTTTTGTACAATATATCAGCGCTATAAATACGTCTTGAGTTGCATATCGTATGTTGATGACGTCAACGGAGATTCATACATCACGGTCCGAGTCCAGCAGATGTTTCATTCGCCGGTTTCGATTGGGAAATAGAGGAAATTAATTTTCGGTGAGAGGCGATTCATTAGTTCGGATTTTGACGGAATTCAATGTTTCCGTAACTCAATTGAAAACTTGGAAATGGATCAATATATGGTTCATCATTTGCAGGGAGTAATGATCTAATATCCTCCCCTTTGTTATGGGTAGTTTCAGATTACCAGGAGTAAATGAAACAGATTTATTTTGAAACATAAAATCACGAAACACGAATAGTACAAATTTTATGGTTTAGCATCACATTTATCAATTGTAAATAACTGCGAAATGTTGTCAACAGAACAACCAACTGTTCATCAGTGATAAATAGAAATTTTCTAGTAAAGGAATGAAGAGGCGAGCAAGGAAGCTGAAATGATCGAAGAAATTCATAATATATCCACAAATCAATAGTCAAAAGCAAATACTGACTGTAATACATACACTACGGATCTGATTTCTGTTAAGATATTGAACTTTCCATTCCAACTCAACTGGATCCGAAAAACCAGGTGATGTTTTTAACAAATCATTGGACAATCTCGACATCTGTTCTTTTGACCGATAGAGGCGTGAGTCTAAAATAGGTACTACTCCTTCACTGCTTTTGTTTTTAGTCTATTTCCAATTCGATAGGCTCCAAGTACAACCGAACCACAAGAATAATAAATATTCATCAGGATATTAGTGTCCTTCACTGGCAGGTTCAATTACTGGAGCGAAACCATTTACTTGGATACATCAATAAGAATCACTAGTTGGGCTCTGAAGAAGATACTGAATCATTTGAGGTGAGCTGCGTCTTTATTTTAGTCTCACAAATTATCTTTTACCAAAATCAATTGATTAACTACAGCGACAGCTGATTAACGGAAAAACAGATTTTAAACAGATTTTTAAACTACACGGCACTTACCCATTTGAAAATAGAAATCTATAGATGTGAACATACCTTTGTTTGGGTGAATTTTATTCACCGGGGTAACCGGCCTCACATAGAAGGTATGATGAAGTTCTATGATAGTTGTAAAGATAGATTTCAAATTATAAGAAGTAGAAGGAGCTTGCTTTATATACTTCTAAAAATGGATAGCTATACCTATACAAAAAAGCCCGGAATGGTCTACAATGTTCCAGAACATTCCACAACATCGACACTATTCTATTCATATTTATCTCGGTGTTCCTGAAGTTCCAGACTATTCCGGAATATTTCAGAATGTTCCGATATATTCTGAAATGTTGCGAAATGCAATAATGAGCAATAATCAGGTATATTCAGATCAGAGGTATCAAACTCAATTTTGCCCAATATTAAATTCAGGATTTGTAGACGGGCCAGATTCAAATAAAAAAAAGTACTGAATAATGATAAGATTTTATCAATTCAATTATATGGTATATAATATACCGTTGTTGAAAATCATAATAATGTTATAAAAGAGGGTAATTATTTTGAGCTCGATGATAAAGATACCTGACTTCTCTTATTTTTAACAAGCTTGATGTCAAGTATAATATTCGTTGTAATTATTTTAAGAATTGATTGGAGATGTTCAGTCTTGTGCGATGTTTTTTCTTATTTATTTTCATGACGGAAAACATCTGCTCACATGAATAGGTACCAAACATGCACAGAATGCGTGCTGCATGCTTTTTCAATTTCGGGTAGTCATCCAAACTCTTGAAATATTGTGTATAAAATGTAAGAGCGTTAACGTCTTCAAATTTTTCTTTCAAAATACTGACCGATTGAAGATCTACCAACTTCATTTGCAAATTGATGGCTTCAAATCTGAATGGATTGTTGAAAATTGGGAATTCCATTTCATTAATTTTGTGAAAGTCTTCAAAACGATTGTTGAATTCCGTGATCAGATTCTGCAGAAGTTGAGAATATTGATCCAACTTTTTTTGGTTCACTGTGTCAAATGATTTTAAATGAGGGAAATGATTCCAAGTTTGATTTTTCATCTGATTTTCCCACAGCCTCAACTTTATTTCAAAGGCTTGAATACATGAATACATTCGAGTGACAATCAGATTCATATCTACTATCTACCATAATCAATTGGGTTGCCTTTTTCTGATATGAAAGATTGAATAGGGTCACGTAAAGACGAATTTCGGTGAAATAAGGACATCAGAAAACTTTTCGTCCAAATCTTGTAAAAACTTCCTGAACTGTCGGTGATTTAGTCCTCTGCTCTTTATAAAATTTACTATTTTAATTATAGTTACCATTTTCAAATGTTTGGATGCCAATGGTTTCTGATGAATTATACAGTGAAATCCCACAAAATTTCCTGATGTTTTATGTTTTAATTTGGTTTGTTTGCCAGCCATGGCAGAATCCCATCCGTAGTTGTGCTGCTAAGTTTATTAAAATCGACTTCATATTCTGCTATCAAATACTCAACTGCAGAATAAACATCACTTGTTGTAGAAATTGTCAATAGAACGCACTTTAATAGTTTGTCAGTCATTTCGAAGTTACTGTTAACACCTCGTATAAAAACAGCAAGTTGTGCTGTATCAACAGTATCGATGCTCTCGTCAACAGCCAGTAAAAAGTTTGTGAATCCCTTAATTTTCTTTTTCAGTTGAAGAATCTAATTTTGAGATAAATCATTCATTTTTGAAGCAACAGTGTTTCTTGACAGCGAAATATTTTGAATTATTGACTTTTGAAATGGAAATGAAACATCGGCAACTTTCAACATACAGTCTTTAATAAAATCACCATCAGTGAAAGGTTTTGATCTCTTCGCGACTTCTAATGCAATAATGAAACTTTCAAGGCATCTTCACTCTCAGTATTAGCTTCAGTATGCATCGATTGTTGACCTTGAAGTTTAGATTTTAAATATGACAATGTGTCCATTCCTATTTTTTCAATATAACAATTGAATTTTTATTTGTTTCGTATTATAGTGCTTCTTCAAAGAGTTTAACTTTGATTTGCAATCAAACAGCAACTGTTTGATTGCAAATCAAACACAGTGGTTTGCCTTTCCATTCTATGAAAATACATGCAATTTCCCATTTAGACTGAAAAACTCTGAACTCATTATTAACTTTATATGTTTTTATGACATTATGTCAAAATCATAACAATTATGGAACTCGACACAACAATTATGAATATCGCACGCGCACGACACTTCGCAGTACAACTAGAATCTTTCTCCGATCGTATCGCTTCGATTACTCGACTCAACAGTTTCACGTCGCGCCTTCGTACTCCTTTTATATCGATACGCGATGGACTGTGGCAGCTCATTGTTTTGAGGTTCAACTCAATATACCTCGAACTTCACTGTTCATAAACTCTTTCATTTGGAGAATTGCGTTTATGTGGGAACGTTTTTCCAAATGCATTCCATCTCCAGCGATTCAAATCCAATGTGAATCGCTAATTTTGCACAGGCACCGCTCTTAGAGCGCCTCGAAGATTTTCCTGTAGCACTTGTGTTTTGTACATATAAAAAGATAAGGAAGGTTCTAGTCTGCAATCGAAAAGCAATTCTATTCTCAACAAAAATAATAAGATATTTCCGCTTGTTGCTAAAAGAGGGCGTTACTGTCTATGATTGAGTTGTTTACTGGAATTAAATAGGTACCTAATTTACACTATCTCGCTTGTCGAGGCACGCGCTGCCCTCGAAATTACTTATACATATAGT